TTTCTAGGTACCACTGTGGCACGTCGTGGCGTTCATGGGTACTTAGCCGATATCATGATACTTTCTATGGCTGTCATCGAGGATCATACCGTCTAATGAGTGCGGTTGGTCTCCGATATTGGTGGCCTAGTGTCATAAAGGACTGTTACTCCTTCGCGAGGAGCTGTCTCAGATGCCAATGCTCGAAGGCCGTTATCAAAAGGCATAGAGGAGAACTGTCATCAACAATGATGCGTGCGTCCCGCCCATGGGAGCTATTGATCATCGACTACTGCGGCCCCTTCGAGCCCGATGAATTTGGCCGAGATTATTGTTTGGTGTGCATAGATGCCTACAGTCGGTGGGTGCGGTTAATACCAACAAAGGGCTGCACATCATCAGCTGCAGCATCTGGGCTGTGGGCGGACATCATCAGTTTGCATGGTCCCCCTTCCTGTTAACATAGTGATCGAGGTCCTTCTTTCGTGGCTGGCTTTTTGGCGGAAGTTGAGGAACAATTCGGGGTGATGCACACCACAAGCGCATCCAGGGACCCGAGAGTCCAAGGAGCCGCCGAGAGGGGAGTAAGAGAAATGAAGGCCATCATGAGGATAGTCGAGCATCAACTGGGAACGGCCCAAGGATGGACAGCTACCCTGCCAGTGATCGTCATGACTCACAATTTCTCTCCACCCCCTTTCGTACCTGCTACGTGCGATCTATCCCCTTACATGCTAATGTTTGGTCGCCCAGCGCCCGACATTTTTACAGGAGGAAGAGAGGCGGGGATGGACGCCGAGGCTACAGACGATGACTCAAATAACGGTGCGATCAGCGGAGCGGACTATGCGAAGCAGATCAATGATAAGCTCAAGGAAGTTCATGAGGCATGGGATCTGGCGCGCACGATAGAAGTGTCGAAACGAGCGGATCGTTTCCGCATTGGTGCGGAACAATACCATTTCGGCGAGGGCGATCGGGTCTTGCGAGTCACGGCACTTGAGAAACCCGGCGGGCATAAGGCAGTGGTTACAGGCCCATTTACCGTTGAACGCAAGACTGGCCGTAACTATTACGAGGTAGATGGTATCGATACTAATGTTCCGGGGCACCAGCTGCGGCCCATGATTACGGATCCAGAACTTCGTCGAGGTCTTCCTGATGATCAGCGTCCAAGAGTTATACTCGGCGGCAGAAATCTCGTCAAGATCCCATTTCAAGAACTGACGCCAGGCACGATCATTATGTTCGAAGTTAGATCCTCACCAACACAATATTATTATGATCTGGCTAAAGTCATATCAAATTACCCTCTTGACGGGAAAGCCAACACGAAGCTCATGTATGCTGGCCCAAAAATGCGTTGGTACGACTCCGATACGGTCAAGGACATTGCATATGATGATATCGTTGCGACTGGGCTAGTGCTGACGAATGATAATCGTGTACCTGAGAGAACTATGAAAATTATTAGCCATTCGCAACGA